AGGGGCGGCGTCGGCCCGCTCGCCAACCGCCAGTGGCCGTGGCCCCAGTTATCCCACGAACGCGCCGTGGCCGACAGGCAGGACCGCGAGGCCGCCGCCGCCGCGGAGGACGCCGCCGCCGGCCGGCGGCGTCGCTGTCGTCGTCGAAGGCCTCGTCGACTTCGCCGTCGGCGGCATCGTGGGCGGCTTCGCTGGCTTCGCCGTCGTCGTCGCGGCCGCCGAGGAAGAGGAGGGTAGGGAGAGGGGAGAGGCGGCGGCGGCGGAGAAGCAGGAGGAGGAGGAGGAGGCACCTGAATTCTGGGACGAGCGCGGGTGCGGCGCAGACGGCGGCGGCGGGCCACCTGCGAGTCGACTATCCCTGCGGTCGAACATGATCAAACTGAGCAGATCAAGCGCTGGACCTGCCTGTAGGCCCACCAAAAATTATTCCCTACCTAGGCTCTGCCTAGAAGGGTTCTTACCGTGTATGCTTAAAGGGCCGGGCAGTGGTCCTCGCACCAGGCGGTTCCCCCAGTCTCCGCTCCGCGGTTCCCCCAATGACGGCCCCTTAGCTTAGCGTTGCTTATCTCATCTTAATTTAGCTTATTCTATCTTAGCTTAGTTTAATTTCATCTTAGCTCAGGTCTATATTATATTAGCCTACCTTCATCTTAGTTTCGCTGAGTTTTAGCATAGCAGAGCACAGCAGAGCGTAGCACCGCGCAGCGCAGCATATCATAGCAACGCCCAGCATAGCATAGCATAGCGCAGCATAGCATAGCATAGCACACCATAGCGCAGCACAGCACAGCACAGAATAACACCGCGCAACATAGCATAGCATAGCAGAGCAGAGCATAACATAGCACAGCAGCAAAGCAAATGCAAAGCAACAGCAGCGACAGAAAAGCAAAGCACAAACAACGCAAAACAAAGCAAAGCAAATACAACAGCAAAGCAAAGGAAAGGCGAAGGAAAAACAATGTGCGACAGATGCCGAACTGGCCTCGATGGCCGGACCAGAGCCCCCGCAAGCAGTGCCTTCCGTAACCATGTCGGTTCAAGTCCGGAGGCCCCTGCCGCACAGCCGCCCACGCTCATGTCCCGAGGTTGGCGGAGTGAAGCGTTCAGCGGTGCTGCAGAGCCCGCCTCGGCACCAGGTGGCGTTGCACAGCCCACCCGCCCACCCGGCCTGTTGTGGCCATCGATGTGGGCGACGTCGCGTCCAAGCGGAACGAAGATGAGCGGGCTGAAAGTAGCATGGTGTACATGGCTGTCGAGGATGGTTTCTGGGCGTTCATTGTGCTCTTTGCGGCTGAGTACGGCCAGCAAGACATGCACTTCATCAGTCGCACGACGCGGGGCACGTGGCACTCGCGCCATGCCCGCCTGGGCAGGGTCGAGGCGTGGGCCGTCAGGCTGATCCGGAGCACAGGCGCGCTCGAGATGGGGATGCCTGACGCGAACATCCATTTGACGGCTCAGAAGAGCGGGGGGGATGGCAAGGGCGTTGCTTCTCAGCATTTGCAGCTGACCCGCATGATCGACAACGATCTCGAGTGTTTGCGGAGTGTCTTGAACGACGGAGTTGGCAACTCGGGCCTGTCGATCAGGCGGGGCAAGGGCCGCGTCATCCAGCGCACGCGCATCCGCCTTGTAGACAGCAGGCGGTGGCTTGATGAAGACGACGACTGGCTGGAGAGATGCAAGTCGTGGTTCCAGGTTGCCGAGCGCTTCCAGCTGGAGCCACTGGGCATCTGGGATGAGTTGGTGAAGCTCGGGCCGCCGGCGATGCCCCGCCCCGCGTCGCGCGGAGGCAGGCCCCTGACAGCGGCGGAAGTGATGGATCCGCGTCAAAGCGTTGGTCGCCGCGAGCCTAGCCGCAGCCGCAGTCGCGGCAACGATGGCCGTCTGCGCCATTCTCGCGGCGACGACGACGACGACCCTGCTGATGAGCCTCGCCGAGATGAGGCCAGGCGCCGCAGGAGCAGCGCTGCGCAGCCTGCTGACGCTTGGCAAATCCAGGCGCCCATGATTCAAAATGAAGAGCCGCAGTGGACTCACGCGCGACGGACGCCTCTGCCCGCGACCCTGGATGTCGACGTGTCTGGCTGTCACTTCAGAGCTCTGTACCTTGGCCACGGCTTACTCAAGGTTGCGTGCCTGCTGGAAGCGGCGCACCCCGACGATGGCCACCCATTCTCCGGCAAGGTCCTCAAGCTCTGCAAGGGGGCGGACCCAGAGCCCGAGCTTTCTGCAGAACGCGGGGACAGCGGCATTTACCCACATTTTCTTGCAGCGGTTCCCGTCGTTCAGCTCAACAGCGCTGCGCAACCCGTCTGTCACTGGAACGGATGGATCACTGAGCTAGCCGTTCCATTGGACCAGGCGCTAAGGCGCGGTGCGTGTTCCGAGCAGCGCATGGTTGGAGCAGCGCGCCGCGTGCTCCGAGCGGCCACACGTGGCCATTCCATGGATGACCCGCCCCTGTGTAACTTTGGAATGCTGGAGGGCGACGTCGTTATCATTGACGCTGGCTGCTCGCCTCGGCTCGACAAGGAGATGGCAAAGTCACGTGCCGACAAGAATGTGATGAAGAAATTCTGGGCCAGAGCTGGGCTTGTCATCGCGTCGGGGGAGCTGGCCAGATACCAGGGCGCATGGCAGAATGCTTCGACGGTGGCCGAGGCGCGCGTCGCATTCGAGTCTCTGTGGGGCTCTCGCCGAATCAGAGCTGGACAGCCTGCGCCGGCGTCTGTTCCCGCTCGTCCTCGCGCCGTCGTCTCACCCAGCAGCGCTGGACAGCCTGCGCCCCGGCATCGCGCCGCGTGTCCTCGCGTGGCCGCTGCCTTGGAGGAGCTCTCGGACGAGGTGCTGGAGTGGGTCGCGCGCAACTTCCTCTGGGGCAATCTGTCAAGGCACGGGCTCCTCTCTGACGGCGCTGTCGGGCACCTCCCGGACGACGAGTGCTGCGCTGCTGAGGTCACATTGGAGCTGCTGATCAGATTGACAACCGGACGCCGCGAGAGAATATGCAACGACTGCAGCGTCGACATCTTGAGTAAAAAAGAGCTCGATCGTGCCTCGAAAGATTGGAAAGGCGACTACGAGCAATGGGTGCACCCCCAGACGCTGCGAGAGTGGCGGGGGGGGGGGGGCATCGGGGCAGCCGCGGCATCAAATGTTGCGGCGCGCTTTCCGCGCGTTCCTTTTTCAACTCGCTGGTAACTGCGAGTTGGCCCTTTTCTTTCTCGTTGCTCCTTTCAGCGGTCGCAACTTGGAACTCTTCCGCAGCTCGTGGAACAGCTCCGCAACTGGTGCCAAAGCTCTTGAGAAGGCCAACGATGCCCAACGCCAGGCGGCAGGAGCGATCCAGCATGGACATCGCCTGAACAAAAGGTACATATGTGTGTATGTATGCATGTATATGTGCATGTATCTGTGTGGATGTAGATGTGAGTCTCGCTGTTGATGTTGGTGTGGATGTAGATGCCGGTGCAGATGTTGATGTAGCCTTCGGTTTAGATATATATGTTGCTTTCCTAGATCCTCAAGCTCCTAGGTCGGGTCGCACTGGGATAATCAAATGGAAATTTTGTGGTTGGTCCGGGACGTGACGGTCGGTCTTTGCTCAAGCACACATGCTCTGAGGTCCTCACAGAAGTCTTGAACTGGCGTTGGGCCAGCGTGGCGCGCGCTTGGCGTACCAGGGTGGGTGAGTCTGGCGCCGGGCCCAGAAGTGCGCGCGGGCTTCCGAACATGCGTTTCTTTGTGTCTCCTCCGCCTCCTCCTCCTCCTCCTCCTTCTCCTCCTCCTCCTCCTCCTCCTCCTCCTCCTCCTCCTCCTCCTCCTCCTCCTCCCCCTCCTTTTCCTCCTCTTCCTCCTCCTCCTCTTCCACCTCCTCCTCCTCCCTCCTCCTCCTCCTCCTCTTCCTCCTCCTCCTCCGCCTCCTCCTTCTTCGGCGGCGACGCCTTCTTCGTCGGCGGCAAGTTGGCCTGCGCCCACGGCCTTGAGGGCGACTTCTTCCAGCTGCTCTCCTTCGACATTGCCTCCTGCTCTCACGGCACCGTGCCGCGAGTAGGCGGCGCCAGGGGGTAGTCCGTCGCGCGCCCGCGTGCGCGGCGGGAGACCGTCCTGAGGCGCTGCGCTCCTCCTCCTCGTCCTCCTCCTCCTCCTCTTCTTCCTCCTCCTCCTCCTCCTCCTCCTCCTCCTCCTCGGTGGTTCCGACGGGGCCCCGCGGCCGCTTCGCCCACGGAGCGGGCGGGCGCGGCGGGCCCGCGGCAGCCCCCAGCGCCCTTGACGCGAACCCGGCTTGGACCCACGGGGGAGGGTTCAAGGGCCACGAGAGTGAGGCGGCGCAGCCCGTCGCCAGCCTGGCACCGACGCCAGCGCCGCGTGCATCTTCCCCGCCTTTCGTTCCTCTGCCTGTCGGCGGCAGGCCGCTGGGGTGGGCTCTACCCGTGCTCCGAGGAGCAAAAGGTCATGATTCGAGCGAGGGGGCCGAACGGTCATTCACTGTCCCCGGGCGCGCGGCTGAAGTGAGGTTCTGCGGTGCGGATTGGTGTTGCGTTGTTGTTGTCGTCGTTTTCGCCCGCGACCCACCCGTGACCCACCCGTGACCCACCCCGCGACCCACCCGCGACCCATCCCGCGACTGACCCCGCGACCCACCCCCGACCCACCCTGCGCCCGCCCACTCAGTCACTGTTATCCGCGACTGCGGGGTGCTACGTGATGATACGTTCCACCATTTTCACGTTGACCTGTTGTGGCGCGCGGGCTCCAGAGACGGGGGCCCTTCGGGCGCTCCCGGAAGTCGAGGAACGCCTCCTGAGCCGATCGCATCACTACGTAGTGTTCGAAGCAGGACAAACGGCATGAACATGCTACTGCGGAGTCCGCGCAGAACTCTTGGATTGGCGATGGGCCCTCGCTGGCGTTGCAGCTGGCACGATGGTTAAGAACAACTCCCTAGCCTGGGAGGCATACCTATTCTTGCCGAGAGCTTTTGGATAGCGCGTCGCCCCACGGGTTTTGGCTCACAGCGCTTTGGAGCGACACGACGCTCTCCATTTCGCGGCGTCGAGGCGTCAATGTCCCAAGCCGTTCCCAGGGTCCCGGCCCGCAGAGCGGTGTGACACGTGATCCGCTTGCAAGGGACAGCGTGTTGCCGAGGCCGTCGTGGCGACACGCTATCCCGACCGTCTGCCCTTTTGTGTGAACCGTCCACTTTGGAACGCTCTTCGTCGTGGGGTACCTCCACGCGGCGTCGGACCCTCGGCGCAGAGTCTGCCGCTCTTACCTTCGCTCCTGTGGCAACGTCTCGACGGTCTGCCGTGTGGCCACGTTTTGAATGTCCGCCGACGACTGCGACTGGCCTTGCCAGGGACGATGGATACGCACAGCCCCCTGCCGCCCCACTTGTGCTGCTCTTCGTTCTTCTAGGCTGTCGGCTGTTCGGCGGGAGACAGGACAGCATCAAGCTTTACGCGACCTGCCGTGGTGTACCCAGACTGAAGGTACGATTTCTCGTGCTCTGGGACGTCAGCTTCGAGATCTTGTCATATCTCGGGGCCGTGTCCGACGAAGCGCTTATCTTGTCGGCGTTTCCTACCTACGCTGCGTTCCGAGCGTCCAACAGCTTTCGCGGACACCCTTCTTCCAGCAACAAAAACAGTTGCCCAAGACAGTATGGAGCATTTTTGCAAAACGGGCGTTGCTGGGCAAATGACCGCGGTGCCGGTGTTTGATGCATTTCGGACTCGCTGAGTCCATTTTCATCTTCTCCCCTCCTCTCTCGTCCCCTCCTTCCTCGTCTCCTTCTTGCTTTGAATATTCAAGAATTCTGGTCTAGTATTTCTGTTCGTCAGGCTATGGTCCACCGTGTGTATTTGCCTATTGCAGGTCGGTTCACGTTGTGTTCCTTGTTTGCCTGACGAGCCGTTGTTTCACTTCACACGGAGCTCTCTGTGTGTGCCGTTGCCATGCGCTGGCTTAGTGTGCATCGCCTTTCGATTAAAACATTGTGCTCCCGGGTGTGTTTGTGTGTGGGTGTGTCTTTTGGACCAGTTCCTTGCTCCAGGCCGCGTCACAGGATGTTGTCAATCAACAGTTATTGTGTTTGTCGATACTATGCTGTTACCTCGCCGTGTGAGGGGAAAATAAATGTGTGTACGTGTGGAAGGGGCGGTAGCAGCGTGAGGCGCGGATGCGCAGAGGCTAGAGAAGAAGTAGGAGGAAGAAGAGGAGCAGGAGGTACAGGAGAAAATGAGAAGAAGGAGGGGGTGGAAAAGGGAGTGTGAAACCGCAGCGGGGCAAAGGCACGAAGGGGTGGAGCGGAGAGAGGAGCCGCGGAGAGAGGAGCGAAGGAGGGTGAGAATGAGGAGGAGGAGCAGGAGGAGGAGGAGGAGGGTGAGGTGGAAGTGGAAGATGAGGAGGAAGAGGACGAGCATAAGGAGGATGAGGTGGAAGAGCTGGGCCCAGGGCCCAGTTTTGGTTTGAAGATGGCGGCGAGATTCTAAACGCTTCTGGTGGAAGCGTCTGTGTCAGCAGCATTTGTTGCTGAAGTCTCAGGCGAAAGGCTTGTTATCGTGTGCAGCGGATGCCTCGAGCGACGTGCGCAGCGCATGGGATAGTGGTGGCGAAAATAATAAAAATAATAGTAACAGTCACAATAGAAGCACTATCAATGTTGATACTAATAAGAATAGTCATACTAATAATAGTCGTACTAATACTACTAATAATAATGATGATGATGATGATGAAGATGATGATGATGCTGATGCTGATGATGATGATGCTGATGATGCTGATGATGCTGACGCTGATGCTGATGCTGCTGATGATGATGATGATGGTGGTGATGATACTGATAATAATAATGATAATACTTATGATATAATAATGATAATGATAATACCAGACACACTATTAATACTAGTAATAATAAGACTAAGTAGGAGGAGGAGGCGCGGGAGGAGGAGGGTCGACTAGGGTTGGCGAGAGAGTTTGCTGAGAATGTTTGAGGAGAACCGATTGTTCCTGGAGCATTTGTCGTTGAAGTCTCAGGCGAAAGGCTCAATGTCGTTTGTTGTGATTGCCTCGAGCGGTTTGCGCAGTGTGTAGAATAATCATGGTTTGAGAAGAAGCAGGAGGAGGAGGAGGAGGAGGAGGAAGAGGAGGATGGGAACCTCTCGACGGCTTCGTGTTCATGCTGCTATGGGAGGCCTCTTTGGGGGGTTCTCGACAGGCCTCTCGGGGGCGCCTGGGATGTATTTGTTGGGCCTCCTGAGACCTCTTGGGGGCTTCGTCGAGCCTCTTGGAACCGCTTGAGAGTCTCTCGGGAACTCTCGAGGCCTCTCGGGAACCTCTGGGGGCCTCCAGGGTGGCCGCTAGGGGGCCTCCTCGGGTGGCCGCTAGGGGTCCTCTTGGGGGCTTTTTGTCGGAACTTTGTGGGGGCATCTTGATGATGGTTTTGATTGGGCCTTTTGGGGGCTACTTGAGTGCCTGGTGGCGCTTCTTGGGGCATCTTAGAGGCCTCTTGGGGTGTCTCGGGGCTCTCTTGGGAGCGTCCTGGGCCGTCTTAGGGTGATGTGTGATGCCTGTCTTGCCGTCTCGGACGCAAAAGTGAGAAATACAAAAAACGCACGTTTTAGGGCATAGAGAGATGTTTGCCTGTCGAGGCTGCCCTGAGAGGCCCCTTGGGGACATCTTGGGCCGTCTCGAGGCCATCTTGAGCCCTCTTGGAGCGCCCTTGGAACGTGTTCGGGTCCGCCTGCATCTCTCTGAGGCCGTCTTGGGGGCATCGTAGGCCGTCTTGGAGGCCTCTGGAGCCATCTTGAGCGCCCGGGGAGCGCTCTGGGATGCCTGGAAGGCCGCACCCCCGGAGCAAAAAGCCATCTCTGGTCCGAGTCTGCTGAGACCTTGCCGGGGGTTCCAAGGGCGTGCTCTTCGCCCAGGGGCCCCCAGGAGAGGCCTCGCGCGCGAGAACTGGATAGATATACAGTTCACCTGTTCCCGGAGATCTTCGCAGGCCTCTGGCCCGTTGGGCCGGCGAACTGTTGTGCCTTCCCTGGCCCCCCCCCTGGGGCCGCGCACGCACCGCTTGCCATAACTTTCGGAGGTTGATAGACCTCCTGCCCTGACACGTCGATGAGTGAGTTGGCCGTTTTCGGTTTACGAGAGGGCATCGCGGCCGTCATTTTTGCGGGTCCAGGTCCTTCGGTGTCGGTCCTAGGCCGTTTTCATTCAATGGAGGTTTACTAAAGGGAGGTTTGTCCACCCCACCGCCGATATTTGCGCCCCCTTCTCTTGGACGCCCCCCTCATTGGGCGCCCCTGGCACCCCCCCCCTGGGCCGCGCACGTGCCTCGGGCCATGACTCGAGCACCAGTGCTAGACCCCAACGGTACTCTGGCGATCCCGTGGGCCGTTTTCGCTTCCATGTCGTTGTGCGTTAAGAAGGCGGCCTGAAGACAAAGAGCGATGGAAGTGCGAGCACAAAACGAAAACGAAAAGCACCGTTTAGGGTCAGCCCTGTCGAGCACCGCCCTCTCGTGGACGCCCCCCTCGTGGACGCCCCCGAGGCTTCCGACCTCTGCCCTCCCGTCCTGCCGCCGCGCCGCCCGCGAGGAGGCCGAGCGGGCGGAGGAGGCGGCGGCGGCTGGGAGGTCGATCGAGGACCCCGCCCGCGCTCAGAGGCGACGATAGGGGCGAAGAGCCCGGGGGAGAGCAAGAGGAGGAGGAGGAGGAGGAGGAGGAGGAGGAGGAGCAGGAGGAGTAGTAGGGAGGAGAGGAGGAGGAGGAGGGGGGGGGAGGAGGAGATGGAGGAGGAGGAGCACGAGGAGGAGCAGGAGGAGGAGGAGGACGTGTATCCAGGGGCGCCGATGATCCATGTCTTCGACGAGGCTCCTGGGCGAATGCGTGTAATGCCCGCCCCTGGGCTGTTCGCCCTCCTCGTCGCCGCGCCCTCGCGCGCTCCGCCGGGCCCCGGGCCGCGGCGGAGCCCCGGGGGGGCCGGGCAGCGGGCTCTCTCCGAGGGGTTGGCGTCGGGGCCTGGGGCGAGGTCGGGCGTGTCCCCCTGCAGGAGGGATTTTCAAAGAGAGTCAAACAAATACTCCGGGGACTAATTTTCTTCTAGTCGTCTCGACTATTTTCAAATATGTTTGGAGTGCTCTTGTTCAACAAGAGTCAAACAATACCCTGGGGACTAATTTTATTGTAGTTGTTTTGGCTATCTTCAAATCTGTTTGGAGTGCTCTGGTTCTTTCATGAAAAAATCCGCCTGCAGGGGGACATGCCCGACCTGGGCTTGGGGGAGGAGGGCCGAGGGAGGGCGCGAGGGAGGAGGGGTCGAGGAGGCATCGAGGACATGTGGCCCGAGGGTTGAGCTCCTCCTCCTCTTCCTCCTCCTCCTCCTCCTATTCCTCCTCTTCATCCTCCTATTCCTCCTCTTCCTCCTCCTCCTCCTCTTCCTCCTCCTCCTCCTCCTCCTCCTCTCCTCCTCCTCCTCGGTTCTCGGTCCTCGACCCTCCTCCTCGATCCTTGACCATCTTTTGGAGGAGGGAGGAGGGGCGAGGATCGGGGGTACGTACAGCATGGGCGGGCGACGAGGATCGAGGAGGAGGAGGATCCAGGAGGATAGCGGACCGAGAAGGAGGATCGAGGAGGAGGAGGAGAATGAGGAGGAGGAGGAGGAGGAGGAGGAGGAGGAGGAGGAGAACGATACTCGAGGCACACTAGGAGGAGGATCGACGAGGACTGAGGATAATCAACATCGAGGTCCTGTGCCCGTTTTGTGCCAACGTTCCAGGGGGCTCGGGAGACTTCGTGGGCCTCCTGGGGCGCCCTCGTGGCCACAGTTGGCCCTGGCGGCGGGCCTCCCCCCTCCCTCTCCCTCTCTCCTTTGGTCCCCCGTCTCTTTTCCCGCCGTCGAGGATCCCGGTTTTGAAGCGTTTTGGGCCCCTTGGGGCACCCTCGTGGCCACGGGTGGATTTGGCTCTGGATCGTCCTCCTCCTTCTCCTCCTCCTCCTCCTCCTTCTCCTTCTCCTCTATTTCCTCGTCCTCTTTCTTTCCCCTTTCCCCCCCGACTTACCTTTAGGCGAGAAGGCAGGAGGTGGGAGCAGCAGCAGGAGCAAAAACACATCGAGCAGGGGGGGGGGAAGAGGAGCAGCAGCAGCAGCAGCAGCTTCAGACGGGGAGCCCACTGCGTCGTCCCGAGCAGGAGGAGGAGGAGGAGGAGGAGAAGCAGGATGGGGAGGAGGAGGAGGAGGAGGAGGAGGAGGAGGAGGAGGAGGAGAAGGAGGAGAAGGAGAAGCAGGAGGCGGAAAAGAAGAAACGGAGGAACCACAGGAGTAGCAGGAGTTGTTCCTCCTGGCTTGTCCTGCCTCCTTCCTTCGTTGTCCTGCCTCCTGCCCTCCTCCTCCTCCTCCTCCGCCTCCTCCTCCTCCTCTTCCTCCCCTATCTGGCTCCTTTTCTCTCTCCCCCCCTCCCCCCTCCCTCCCCTCCTGTCCCTCCTTTCTGTCTGTCTGTCTCTCTCTCTCTCTCTCTCTCCTTCTACCTCCTGCCCACCCCCGCCCATCTCCACTCTCCCCCAGCCCTCCGGGCGGGAGGTCCTCCCACCACCCCTCTGTTCAGCATGCGGCGCCTCCCGTGTTGTGAGGGCGGGCCCGCGCAGCGCGTGCGGCTCGCAGGCCCGGGCGGTTCGGTTGCACTGTCGGAAGTGGTGCGGTCTCCGCCCCAGCCTACCCTCCACCCCCTTCGGGGGCGGAAAAGAGGGGGGTGATGACTAGGGGGGGTGGATACCATGGCGGGGGCCATGATATTTCCTCAGATGTCATAGCGCCTCTTCTTATTTCTTTACGTCCCTGGTCCCCCTGCTGGGCCGCCCACATGCCGCCGGTCATGATTTGCACCCCCCCCTCTTGGACGCCCCCCTCTTTGCCGCTCCCGACCCCTCTTCCGCCGTGGGTTTGGCACCGCTCGGACGTGTGCATTGCTTCTCGGCGGGGATCCGGCCCGTCCGCGGTGGCCCGCTGGTCTTCGCTCTTCTGGCCCGTGTGCTCCGAGAAGCCCCCAGGAGGCCCCAAGAGGCCGCCAAGAGGCCCCAAGAGGCCCCAAGAGGCGCCCAAGACGAGCCCAAGATGCTTCCAAGAGGCCCAAAAGATACCCCACGAGGCCACAAGAAGCCCCCAATAGGCGCCCAAACCGCCTCCAAGAGGGCCCCAAGAGGCTCCCCACGACACCCCAACACATATGGAGGAGGAGGAGGAGGAGGAGGAGGAGGAGGAGGGGGAGCAGGGGGAGGAGGAGGGAGGAGGAGGAGGAGGAGGAGGAGGAGGAGGAGGAGGAGGAGGAGGAGAGGAGGAGGAGGAGGAGGGAGGAGGGAGGAGGGGGAGGGGGACCTGAGCAGATGCGCGAGCGGGAGAGTCGGCCTCATCAGGGTAGCGGCAGCCACCGCCTCCCTCAGATCCCGCGCGGGCGGCGCTGGCGCAGCACACCATCGGATCCACTGCGGGGGGCGTGGGCGGCAGGATCGGCGCTGTCCACGCCATCGGTTCCGGGCCTCGGGGCGGCAGCGTCTGCCAACTCGAGGCACTTCGCCGCGCTGCAGGCCGACGTGCGGGCGCAGGCGGCGCGGCCGTCGGCAACGGAGTCCTCGAGACCGCCTGCTTCGGCAGCCAGCTCAGTCGGAGGTGGCGCCTGCCCAGGTCCCGGAGCTGGCCAGCCAGGACAGCAGGTTTTGTTGGGGGGATCATCTGAGGCGGCAGCAGCAGCAGCAGGGCGGAGGCAACCCGTACGTGCCGCCGCCCATGGGGGGGAAGAACACTCAGCACGTGGTGTTCGTGGCGGGCTTTCCTGGGACGTGGGGCGCGGGTGAGGTCGAGATACGCCTCGCGGCCCAGCTGGACGCAACTGAGCCTTTGCGCGACCAGGGGATCACGGAGATGGAGGTTATGTGACCAGGCGAAGGTTGTGTTCGCCAGCAATTGTCAGATGTGATTTTTTTGTTGGTGAAGGCGTGGAAAAGGGCACGAGATCCCTTGCCCCAGGTGCGAGGAACGATATGGCACAAAGTTGATCAGGAACCGAACGAAGTGGAGCTGTCTCGTCAGGCATCCTATGCCGCGCGGATCCTCCGCGAGCATGATCAGAGCAAGGCGCTGCGCAGGGAGGCCAGCAAGATGAAGACTTTCGACGGCGACTGTGACCGCGGCCAGGTCGTCTTACGCTCACACGGGACGGCACGTCCGATCAGGATCCTTTATAATTTTCGGCAAACGCAGGAGCTGGAAATCTGCTCCGACCTGATGGCGGCGGCGCTGCTGGCCCGGGAGCCTGCTGAGCAGAAGTCGCCAGAGAGGCTCGGAGAGATCAGTGGCCCGCCGAAGCAGCAGCGATTCAAGTCCAGGGGCCGCCTCTTCGCCAAGGACGTCAGGGACCTCACAGTTTTTGGGTGGAATGCGAGAGGGGTCCGTGGCAGTAGAAGGCAGCAGCGACGCGAAAGTGACGCGACTGCGACGCGAAAGTGAGTTTGTTTCAAAAGTGGTGCGTGTCGGGGACATCCGAGCAGCGGTGCGACGGCTATGTTGTGCACGTGGCGCCTCAAGCGGGGGCATGGCAGAGATGCGGGATAGCGTTGCATGATTCACTGGTGCCTTCTATTGTGTCGCCGCCGAACTTCCACACCCGCACCGTGCCCCTGGACTTGCAGATTCCTATCAGGGGACAAGCAAGGCTCATCACGAGCCACCATCTCTCGCATACTACCCGCTGCGAGCACGCAGAGAGAATTGAGCAGCTCAGAGAATGTCTAGATGCGATGCTCGTTGGCTGCCACCCCGTGATCTGCGTCGACGCTCAGGGCGGCGTCTAGGCGATGGCGGGGCGTTTGGACAACGCTCTACCACGCGTATGATTTGGGGAGGAGAGATGCTCTTCGACCTGATGACAAATTCGACCTCGTGGCTGCGAACACTTTCTCGCAGGGGCAGCGGGACCACGCTTCTTGCTACTTCGACAGCCGCAAAGAACCTGGACATATCCATTTCATGCTGTGCCGTCGTCATCGGCCCGAGTCGACCTCGTACCAAGCCCGCTTCACTGACGCCGCCAGCAGCGAGCACCTACCGCTCCTGCTGAGGTGCTGCGCGGGCAAGGCCATTCCTATGTCGCAGGAGATCGACCTGGGGCATGGGGCGCCGTCCCCGCGGGCCGGTGGCCTGGCAGCTTTCGGGCGCCCGCCTCTTCAATGAGACGATCTGCGCAGTGCTCCAGGCCCCGTACTTCCCCAGCTCGATCGGCATCTCTGATGACGACCTGGTCAACGAGATAGGCATCTTCACGCGCGGCTCGGCGCGAGGGCGAAGGCGGGGTCGGCGCCGGGCTGCCGGTGCGCGACGGGGCATCGCGGTCTGCCGCCCAGCCCTGTCAAGCGAACTGGACGTGCCGATGATGGAGGCGCGCGAGCCCGCGACCGTCGCGCCCCTGGACTGCCGCTTTGCGAGCGCGGGCCGCCTCGCGGCCAACGCGGGGGAGCTGTCCGCAGCGGTGGAAACGCTCCTGCGGATCCTCGGCGGGCGCGGGGCGACCGACCCTCTCGCCCCAGACGACAGGCTCGCCAGGCTGATCACCGACTAGACGCGCGCGCAGGATCTATTGCAGGAGACTTTCCAGCCGAGAGAGAACTCAAAGTTGGCCTCGCTAGCGGTTCACTTGCGGAGGCGGGCCAGGATTCGTTTTGACACGGGAGCGCGCTCGATGAGGGAGCGCGGCGGCAACGTCGGCAACGGGTAAGCTGGCTTCTCGGCCAAGCGCGGAGCGGACAAGAGATTGAAGGCGCCCTTATCCTGGAGCGTCGCGAGCGCGAGCTCAGTCTGCAGCCCGCGCGCGCACGCGCGCCGAGACCGCGCGCGAGGACGGCGGCGACGCCCCGGCCGGCTTGCCGGACCAGCCGCTGGCCAAGGAACCTACCAGAGGCATGGCGCCCCTTCTGTCACCGTCTTCACAGAGGGCACCGCCGCTGGCGCGGCCGCGGCAGGTCACGCTCCTCGACTTGGACGGTGGCGACCACCTCTTCTCGACCCAGAGCTGCTCCACTTGAATCGCCTGGAGCAGTTGCGCATGCGGGAGACTGATCCACGCGCGCGCCACCTGCCGGGTCCGCCAGCGACGAAGGTCCGGCGAGCCCCGCGCGACCGATGTTGGGCCGCCCGCCTTGAACGACTGCGCGGGCGAGGACGTGCAGAGCGGCCGCGTCGCGCTGGCAAGTCCGTTTTCGAGCTGTGGGCCGAGGGGGGCCAGCGCGCGACCACCGCCGAGGTGCGAGGCGAGCTGGCCCGTTCCTGCTACGCCAAGCTGTTCCTCGACGCGACCAGCGACGCGGGCATGCCCGAGCGGGTCCACCGCCAGTGGTCGGCAGACGACCAGCAGGCCGAGGCACCGCTCTCCCCCTCCCTCCGGGAAGCAGCCATCGGAGAGCTCACGCGTGGCAAGTCGCGCGCGGAGTCCGACGTGATCGTCGCCAAGATGTTCCAGGGGCCCGAGGATGACTAGTCGTCTGAATCTGATCGCGGAGGCCCTCCGTCTGCGCATGGGAATCCATGTCACCGAATATTTTGGCCAGGCGTGGCGAGAGCATGCGGCCCAGCTTATCCGGGCAAAACCTGCGTCTCCCCGAGTGGCCGAGCTTCGCCCGATCGCATTGTTTTGGTTTTGCTGACAATCCTGCCCGCGATGGTCCTGGACGTCCAGCGCCCTGCTCTAGAGTCGAGACGAAAAGGTCCGGGTGCCAGTTTGCTTTTCGCCGCTCGTATCAAGCCCACGAGATCAGATATAGCTCGCGCCACCTGGCCGAGAAATTCTGCGAATGCAAGGGCCCGCCCTAGGTCAGTGTAGGAGGCGACACCCGAACTTTCCAATGCAATCAGGCCACCGCGCCCTGGCCAGGGGGCTCGATGAACACGGGGTGGGCGTCCCGTGTCGCCACGGATTCCTGGATTCGGGGGACTCGAAATTTCCGCGTTCGCCCCCGACTGCCAGGGAACCGTCTTGACGGACAGGGTCCGCCGCGAGAGATGCTTCATCCAGGGGGGCCCGCAGTTCCCGGGCTGAACATTGTTTTCCTGGGCGCGGACTTCGTAAATTTCAGGACTTCCGCCGAATAAACGGATGAGGAAACGATGCCAGGATAATTAAGAGAACTGAGCGCTAGGTGTCTAGGTGTTGCTGACATGTTTTGGGACCCTGGTCCCTTTGGTTTCAATGGCCCAGCAAATGGCGGACATTTGGTCACGCATTTCAAATGGAAAGCAGTCTGGAGGCCCCTGTTGATGAGATGGAACGGTGCCACGCCATGCCCTCCGATATAGACACGCTTCGCGTGAGAGGCACGCTGATCCCCTGCCGTGGGCGAGCTGCTGGGCTCAAAATGTTAGGCGCGCGTTTATCTTTCGATCCCAGTTGCGCGGGGGACGTTGGCAATCTAACCCAACGAACTCCGCTCACCTTGTCATGGGAGTCTGCTCATTTACCAGAACATATGTTTGCGCAAGCGCCTCAAGGCGTTAGACATATGTGTTCGCCCAGCTCTCACGCAGTGTATCGGTAGTCTTCAGTTGTCAGTCCCGTTTCTCGTTTGCATCTCTAAATGTCATCACAGTATGTTACGGCGAGTAATTCGCCCTTATTGTGCCGACACTGCGGCCGCGTACATGATATCAGCGTTGGCCCTTATTTCTGGATTTCTGATTCGTCAAGAAATCTATCCCTGGACACAGACCTGCCGACGCATCTCTCATGCCTGGGCTCGACACCTCCAGGGCGTGGCGTGGGCCTGTCCAGATGGAGTTGCCTACCGCGTGCTGCGCCATAGGACCGTCGGCATCTGGATATGGGAGCGGGATTTCTAACATGTTTACGGCTTCGACTGGCTCGCACAACCCTGCGCTCAGCACGCCTGGACTGACGGGCTGAAGGGTTGGTTTTAATTGCGACGCACCCTTTGGTAATCTGCTGGTCTGCACTCTCTGTAAGTTTTGTTTCGCGCCGTCGGGCCCTGGAGGCACCCCGTGGGACTGCTCGAAACGAGACGAAACGAAATCGTCGTCGTCGTCGTCGTCGTCGTCCCCCCATTTCTCTGGCAGGGGGGGCCCTACCATCCTTGGGAGCCATCCGAGCTGGGTGGAGGGGCCGTGCGCCCCTGAGCCCGGGATCCTATCCGGTTCCACTTGGGAACGCCCTCCTCCGCCTTTCCCGTTTCCTCCTCCTCCTCGTCCGAGTTAGTTTGCCCTCCTCTACCTCCTCCTTCTCTTCGTCCTCGTCCGAATATGTCCTCGTGCGGATTTGACCATCTCCTCCTCCTCCTCTTCCTCCTCCTCCTCCTCCTCCTCATCATCATCATCATCATCATCGTCCTCCTCCTCTTCCTCCTCCTCCTCTTCCTCGTCGTCCTCCTCCTCCTGTTCCTCCTCCTCCTACCTCCTCCCACCTCCTCGTCCGAGTCTGTTCTCGTTCTGGCTTCGTCCTTCCCGTCCCCGAAGGAGCTGGCCGCGCGGGGCGACGCCGCCGCCGCCGAGGCGGCGCTGCTGCGGGCCCTGCACCGCGGGTTGCAGCTGCCCGGGGGCGCCTTCGACGCCGTGGTGTTCGCGCACGCCAGCGCGGGGCGGGCCGAAAAGGACGCCGCATGGGAGGGGGAGGGGGAGGAGGGGGAGGAGGAGGAGGAGGAGGAGGAGGAGGAGGAGGAGGAGGAGGAGGAGGAAAACGAGGAGGAAGACGAGGAGGAAGACGAGGAGGAACAGGAGGAGGAGGAGGAGGAGGAGGAGGAGAGGAGGGGGAGGAGGGAGGAGGGGGAGGGGGGGAATGGAGGAGGGGAGTGAGGAGGGGGAAAACGAGGAGGAAGACGAGGAGGACGACGAGGAGGAAGACGAGGAGGAAGACGAGGAGGAAGACGAGGAGGAAGACGAGGAGGAGGAGGAGGAGGAGGAGGAGGAGGGGTGAGGGGGGAGGAGGGGGAGGGGGGGAGGAATGGAGGAGGAGGAGGAGGAGGAGGAGGAGGAGGAGGAGGAGGAGGAGGAGGAAAACGAGGAGGAAGACGAGGAGGAAGACGAGGAGGAAGACGAGGAGGAAGACGAGGAGGAAGACGAGGAGGAAGACGAGGAGGAGGGAGGAGGAGGAGGAGGAGGAGGAGGGAGGGGGAGGAGGGGGAGGAGGGAGGGGGGGAATGGAGGAGGAGGAGGAGGAGAGGAGGAGGAAAAACGAGGAGGAAGACGAGGAGGAAACGAGGAGGAGGAGGAGGAGGAGGAGGAGGAGGAGGAGGAGGCTGAGGGGGAGGAGGGGGAGGAGGGGGAAGGGGGGGGAGGGGGTGAGGGAATGGAGGAGGAGGAGGAGGAGGAGGAGGAGGAGGAGGAGGAGGGGGAGGAGGAAACGGAGGAAACGGAGGAAAGGGAGGAAAGGGAGGAGGAAGAAGAAGAGGACCAGTGTAAACCCAAGAATCATCTTCGATGTTGGAGTAACCTCCCCCTCCAAGCTCCTTCTTCATAGGCCCCTACAAGGGTTCATTTCCACTGACGGAACTGCCTCGTTGGAAGACAACCGTTTGAAGATTTTGAAGCACTTCAAAACACAGTTCTCGGGATTCCATCACCAGGGATCAACCTGACTGTTGCGTCTTGGTGATCCTGAATCGTGCCAGAACGCAATCAACGTAACCGCTGCACCCTCATAATCTGGAATCTGTTCAAAACACCATGTCTGGTACGCTGATCATGGGAATATGTGGAGCCGCTCTGCAAAGTTTAGAACGAATGTGCGCGGCGCTTAGGCGAGAGCCACATTTTGAAACTGAACCGCCGTCAACCCGTGAAGCTCCTGCAATTGTTTAGAACGAATGCGCGCGACGCTAAGGCGAGAGCTACATTTAGCAAACGGGTCGCCCTCAAGCCGTGAAACTCTTGCACATGTTAAAAACGAATGTCGCGGCGCTAGGGCGAGAACCACATGTTGAAAACGACCCGCCCTCAATCCGTGAAAAGCTTGCAACTTTTTAGAACGAATGTGTACGGCGCCAGGGCGAGAGCCACATTTTGAAAACGGGTCGCCCCCAATCTGTGAAACCCTTGCATGTTTGTTGGTGCGAATGTGCGCGGCGCTAAGGCGAGAGCCACATTTTGAAAACGACCCGCCCTCCATGTGTGAACAACAACTGTTGCATTTGTTAAGCTTCAGGATCACAAATGGTGAGGGAGTCTCAGGCGAAACGCCCGGCCCGCCCTAAAAACTTGCCCAAGAGGCCCCGAGGGCCCCAAAAGGGCGCCCAAGAGGCCCCCAACAGCTTCAGAACTCGCTCCACGAGGCGCCCGAGAGGCATGCCAAGATACCCCGAATTACATACCTCCAAGAACCCTCTGGCCCCAAACTCGGGCACAGTAGCGGTACGGGCCGAAGGCCATTAGATAAGCAAGCAATTGGTTTGGTGACGGACCCATCCTTATGCAGTCACGGGGCTGGACCTGAACGCTGTTTTGCTGGACTACGGCCGTGTCTTGTGCTCCGTTTCGGCAGGGAGGGGGAGGCACAGGAAAACGGGGGGAGCAACACGAAGCCAAAGCGAACGACAGCGTTTAGGTCCAGCCCAATGCAGCCATGTGCAGTACAGGGCGCGGGCCTTCTCTTCCTACGCCGCGCGCCGTCGGGGCAGTGCGGAGGGATGGCCGTGCGTGGGGCACGCCCGTTGAGGCTGCAGGTGGGCGCCGCGTGCGAGGCATGGCGAGGAGGAGGAGGAGGAGGAGGAGGAGGAAGCGGGGGAGTAGGAGGAGGAGAAGGAGGAGGAGGAGGAGGAGCAGGAGGGGGAATACGAACTGACATTTCGAGCCTTGGCCCTTCGAGCCCCCCGGAGGCCCCGGAGGGCCCTCCAGTAGGCATCCAAAAAGTGCTCCCAGGAAGCACCCCCCAGACCCCCCCGCGAGGCACCCAAAAAGCCTCCCGCGCGCCCCCGCGATCTTCCAGGAGGCCCCGAGAAGGCATGCCGAGGTGGGCGCGGGGCCGCCGCCGTGCGACGTGGCCCCGCGGTGCCGCAGGTGGAGCTCCTTTCCGGGGCACACTTCGCGCGGCGGGTGCTCCGACATGGGCGGGGAGGGAGGGCGTCGTACGAACCTCCTCCTCCTCCTCCTCCTCCTCCTCCTCCTCCTCCTCCTCCTCCTCCTCGTCCCCCTCCCCCTCCCTTGTGGGCTCCTTGTGTGCACGATCCGCGTGGTGGGGTGTGCCGCAATGGTCTGGGCGGGCGTCGTACGAACCTTTATCTCAAGGGCGTAAAAAACGTTCCTACCCTGGTTTACAAGGCGATGTGCGCTGAAACTCCTGTGCCCTGCGTGATGTGCGGCGTCCTGACGTCCTCTAGGCTTTGGGGGTTCTCAGGAGGTTTACAGACCACGCACTTGTAACCCAGGGTATGGTCGTTTTTTCATCCATCAATTATCTCTGGGCCTTCGGGTGGTGCTCCTTGTGTGCACGATCCGCGTGATGGGGTGTGCCGCAGTGGTCTGGGGGAATCGATCGAGTGAGTGAGATCGATAGCGGGATCGGTAGGGGCATCGAGAGGGAGACCGCAAGTAAGACCGATGGTGACATCGATAGGGGGATCGATAGTGAGACCGATAGTGGCATCGATAGTGAGATCAATAGTGAGATCGATAGTAAGAGGGATAGTGAGATCGATTGCGGGATCGATTGTGAGATCGATAGTGAGATCGTTCGTGAGATCGATAGCGAGATCGATAGTGATATCGATTCAGTGATACGTCGGTTCCTCTCTCCCCCGAACCTCCTTATCTCCCGAAGGCGTGTCGTATAGGTATCTCGGAGGCGAAGGGGTGAGATCGCAGTGGAACGGAGAGCCCCCCACCAGGACATCGGTTTCGGGTTTGGGTTGGCGTCGTGCGTGCGGGCGAGGCGAAGCTGCGTGGGCGGGCGATAAAAATGAGCCCTCCGCTGGCTAGGGCGCCGCCGGGCTGAGAGACCGCCCCCCCCCCCCCCCCAAGTTGGCCAGTGGTGGCCAGGCGTCCGGCCGTGATGTTCCGATGGTATCCCGTGGTGCCCCGCGGTGGTCAGTCGGTGTCCCGGAGTGAGATCGATAGTGAGATCGATAGTGGCATCGATGGTGAGATCGATGGTGAGATCGATAGTGGGATCGATCGTAAGATCGATCGTAAAACCGATAGTGAGACCGAAAGGGAGATCGATAGCGAGACCGATAGTGAGATCTATAGTAAGAGGGATAGTGAGATCGATTGTGATATCGATGTAATGAGGTCGATTGTGAGATCGATAGTGGTGTCCCGTTGGCGTCCCGCAGTGAGATTGACAGTAAGAGGGGTAGTGAGATCGACAGTGAGACCGTCAGTGAGATCGACAGTGAGCCTGGTAGTTGGATCGGTAGTGAGATTGACAGTGAGATCGATAGTGAGATGGATACTGGTTTCGATAGCGACATCGATAGTGACATCGATAGTAGTATCGATATTGAGATCGGAAATGAGATCGACGGTGAGATCGGTAGTGCGATCGATGGTTAGATCGATAGTGGGATCGATAGTGGGATCGATTGAGTGAGAAGTTGTTTCCTCCCCCGAACCTCCTTCTCACCCGAAGGGTGTTCGCATAGGTCTGTGTAACTGGACGGGGCTAGGACGAGGATGAATCCCTTCCAGAGCGCTCTGGAGCGCTCTCAGAGCGATCTGAAACGCCCTGAGAAGGCCGCGGCGCCCGAGACATCCTCCAGAGCCGCCGGATCTCGGAGATTCTCGATTCATCCTCACCCGATGTTACCCTCGCCCTGGTTTCGTCTAATGTATGTATGTATGAATGAATGTATGTATGTATGTATGTATGTATGCACACATGCATGTATGTTTGTTTGTATGCCTGCATATCTGTATGTCTGTATGTATGCATGTATATATGTATATATGTATGTGAGTCCGTATGTATGTATGTATGTGTGTATGCATGCATGCACGTACATGTATGTATGCATGTGTATGTATGTATGCATGTATGCGTGTACGCATGCATGCATGCATGCATGCATGCATATGTGTATGTATGTTTGTGCGTGTGGATCTATGTATGTAAGTCTATGTGTACGTGTGTATGTATGTATGTATGTATGTATGTATGTATGTATGTATGTATGTATATATGTATGTATGTATGTATGTATGTATGTATGTATGTATGTATGTATGTATGTATGTATGTATGTATGTACGGATGTACGTGTGCATGTATGCATGCATGCATGCATGCATGTGTGACTGTATGCATGGACGCAGGCCTGTAGGCATGTAATTGTGTACGTATGCACGTACGTACTCATGTATGTATGGACGCAGGCATGTATGCATGTGAGTAAGTATGTATATGTATGTGTGTAGGTATGCCTGTATGTATGTACGTACGTTCATACGTACGCACGCATGCATGGATGCATGCATGGATGTGTATGTGTATGTGTACGTGTATGTGTATGTGTATGTGTATGTGTGTGTATGTGTGTATGTGTGTATGTGTGTATGTGTGTATGTGTATGTGTACATGTATGTGCATATGTGTATGTATATGTATATGTGGATGTATGTACGTACGCATGTGTGTATGCATGTATGTATGTGTGTGTGGATATAGTTATGTAGATAGATGTGTATGCGCGTATGAATGTACGTATGCATATATGCATGCATGCATGCACGACTGTGTGTATGCATGCATGAATGACGGTGTGCAGGTATGTGTGCATGTATGCACACATACGTGCGCACGCATGCATGGAGGCGTGCGTGCATGTACGTGACGCAGCATGTGTGTGTGCGTGCACGTACTTGCGTGCGTGTGCACGCGCGTTCGTCCGTACGCACGCACGTGTGTGTGCATGTGCACGCTCTTCCCCGGGCCGGAGTCGGGCGGCCACGTTCGCGCGGGGGGGCCCGCCGTGGCCAGAACGTGCCCTCGGCTCCTCGCTGGGCGGCGTGCTTCCCTCCCTCCCTGCCTCCCTCCCTCCTCGGCGTCAGCTCTCCCCGCCTCCCTGCCTCCCTCCCTCCTTGGCGTCATCTCTCCTCTCTCCCTGCCTCCCTGCCTCCCTCCCTCCTTGGCGTCATCTCTCCTCCTTCCCTCCCTCCCTCCCTCCCTCCTTGGCGTCATCGCTCCCTGCCTCCCTCCCTCCCTCCCTCCCTCCCTCCTTGGCGTCATCGCTCCCTGCCTCCCTCCCTCCCTCCCTCCTTGGCGTGAGCTCTCCCTCCCTGGGAATGAGGGGGGGGGGGATAGAGGGCGCCAAGGGCTTTTGGAGTGAAAGGGTTCCCTGAGGTCGACGACGACGACGACGACGACGACGACGACGACGACCCGCGCGCGCACAGGCCCTTGTACGGCCACAACCTCAGAATGCGGGCCACTTCGGTTTCCTCTGGCCGCTCCTCGGGTATCCTCGAGCGCCCGTCGCAGATCGAAGCGCGGCAAGGGCAAGCCCCATGTGCAAAGCAACCCGTGCACAGACGTTCGAAAGTGCGTGCGGATTTCGTTGGTCTGTGCTGGGCCCCCCTGGCGGCGCCTCTGGCGCCGCCCCTGGCGCGCTCCGCGCGCCTGGTAGGGGGTCCAGCGCCAACCTAACAATTTGCATGCGGACCTTCGGACATTGATAAGCATGCGTGCTGTGTCTCTTGTGGGTTCGTTTGTTTGTCCTGCACTTCTCCCACGCTCGAGGTTCCCAATTGCACAAGGCTTGGGCTGCATCCACCGATCCCATGCCCAGGACTGTCCTGTCCAGAATCGGCACGGGCGGGAAAGCTGGTGCCCCCTCAGGCTGGCGAGCTGCTCTCGCGCGCTCTGGAGGCTGGCGCGGCGCCTTCAGAGGTCGCCGCCGTCGCCGCCGCCACCGTCGCCGCCGCCGTTGCCGCCACCGTCGCTGTCGCCGTCGCAACCGCCAGAGGTCGCCGTCGCCGTCACCACTGTCGGAGGTCGCCGCGGCCGCCGCCGCCGTCGTCGCCGTCGCCACCGCCGCCGGAGGTCGCCACCGTCGCCGTCGCCACCATGGGAGGTCGCCCGCCGCCGCCGTCCTTGTCGGCGGGGTGGCCCCCGACAGGTCAGCTTCACCAGCGTGGCGCTCGGCGCCCGGGAGGTGTGGAAGGGTGGCCATCGCCCCGCCACCTCGCGGGGCCCCCTGCGATCCGATCGACCCGCGGCTGCGGCCGGCCCGATCCGATGCGATCCCGACCTCTTCCGGCGATGCGAGGCTCACAGACTGCTTCTGGTCGCGCCTCGGCGCGGCGCCGCCACGAGGCGGAGCGGCGCCGGGTTCCATCCGCCCCCGTGCGGGTGCGGCCCGCGCCCGAGGCGCGCACCGACTCTCCGATGCCATGGCGGCCCTTCGCAGGAGGGACCTTCGGTGCGCTGCTCTGGGGGGAGGGCGCGGGAGTCCGGCGATCGCAAGCGTGGGCGTGGACATGAGCGACGGGCCCCGCTTCCGTGGGAGATCCTGGCTCTCCGCGGCCGAGCGAGGCGGCACCGGCCGCCTTTCGGAGGAGGGCACCTCCCCCGATCCATGGACTTGGCGCCCGCGAGCCACCTCCGTGGATCGCTAAAATCCATGTTTGTCAGGAGGGGAAAAAACATAATCCTCGATTCCCCAGAAAATATGGGAAAATATGGGAGATGGGGGGGAAGACGACAACCCAAAAAATATGGGAAAATATGGGGAATCATTTTATTTGTGTGTATTTGTTTGTGTGTCCCGGGGCCCCCTTAGTTTGCGCGCCCCCGAGGGAGGGCCGAAGCCCAGCGCACCGGCCGCGCCACAGGCGCGCAGCCTCTGCAGCGATGTCGGCGAGCCGCCCCTGGGCTTCCTGGGCTTCGATGGTTTTGCCATGGAGGGCGCGGCGCTCCCACACCAAAGGTACACGGGCGTCGTGGGGTCTCGGGGCTGGGCCTCCCGTGGAAGGTCTCTCGTGGTCGAGCCCCCACTCCTCCTCCTCCTCCTCCTCCTCCTCCTCCTCCTCCTCCTCCTCCTCCTCCTCCTCCTCCTCCTGTGCGGCGGGTCCGCGTCGCGCCGGCCCCCGCCGGTCGACGAGTCGGGCAAGTCGAGGGGCGGCGGGGGCCTCGCAGGCCTGGAGCTTGGCCAATCGGGGGCCGCATGCGATCCCTGCCCCAGATATCAGTAATAAAGGGAGGGGGGTCTCATTTCGGGGGGGGGTCTCTTCCAGGCCATCTTGGAGGGCCTGGGGGGTCCGGGGAACATGTTTTGGAGGGTTCTCCCACGGGGGAGATCTGCAATGGCTTGTCTTGGAGGGTCCGGACCCCCTCCCTTTTATGACGAAATCTGGAGTACCCCCACCCTCCCCCTCAGAAATCGTGGGGGGTATGGGGTAGGGTGCGCCTGCGGCCTCCGATTGGCACCAGCACCGGCGTCGGCGGTGTGCTTCCACCGAGGGGTGGCGATCCCGATCTTCGGGGGCGGCGAAGAGCCCGAGGGCATCCTCGGGGCATCTGGGAGAGCCTCAGGAGGGCGCCGAGAAGGCCCGAACGCGGCCCCGAGAAGCACACTCTTCGGGCGCCACTTCCGGGGCAGGTGAAAGTGACAATTCTTTCGGGGGCGGCAAAGAAGGGGGGTGATGACTAGGGGGGGCTGGATATCATGGCGGGGGCCATGATATTTCCCCAGATTTCATGGCGCCTCTTCTTGCTTCATTACGTCCCTGGCCCCCCCGCTCGGCCGCGCGCATGCCGCCGGTCATGATTTGCACCCCCCCATCTTGGACACCCCCCTCTTGGCCGCTCCCGAAATCTGCGGGCTGCCCAGGTGGCCGGAAGATGACCACCAGCACCCAAATTTGGGAGCGTCTTCCCCAGGAGGAGGCAGCCCCCCGTGTTGGTGCTGGTGCCCATCTCCAGGCCTCCAAGGGGTGGGGGTCGTCGAACACGTGGCGGAATCCGAGCCCTGCGTACCCCCGTTGCCCATCGACTCGGGCGAGTCGCTGGGTGGCGGGGGCCGGGTCCGGACGTCGCCGCCGTGCAGCTTCCCCCCGCCAGGCGCGTGCGAGCGGGGCGCGGCCGACCAGCTGGAGGAGGTGCTGCTGCAGATGCTGCGCGCGGGGCACCGGCCCAGCGAGGAGTGGCAAGGGAGGAGGGAGTGGCAAGGGAGGAGGAGTGGCAAGGGAGGAGGAGGAGGAGGAGGAGGGAGGAGGGGGGGGAGGAGGAGGAGGCGGGAGGCGGAGGCGGAGGCGGAGGGGCGGAGGAGGAGGAGTGGCAAGGAGGAGGAGGAGGAGGAGGAGGAGGAGGAAGGGGGAGGAGGAGGAGGAGGAGGAGGAGGAGGAGGAGGAGGAGGAGGAGGAGGAAGCCACCGCGCGCTCGAGCGGGCCCCGCCACACAGGGAGGCTGGCCAGCGGCGGTGGGGCTCACGCGTGCCGCCATATCCAAGGGCGCCCTCGCGGGCGCGAAGTTACTCGCGCTTCGCGCTTCGCGGTTCGGCTCCGATTGCTCCTCCTCCTCCTCCTCCTCCTCTTCCACCCTGGGAGGCGGCGCGAGAGCGCGAAGCTGTTCGCACTTCGCGCTCCGCGCAGCGCGAGAGCGCGAAGTTGGGAGCCCTCGCACATCCTGCCGCAGGGGGCCCGTGCCCTGCCCACGCCGCGGGGCCCGCGGCCGCGCCCGCGGCGGAGCGCCGCACTGCACGGGCGAGACGCCTCGAGAAGGCGAGAGCGCCTGGGCACCGGCGGGGGCCGCCAGGCCGGAGCCAACGCCCGTGCCTCTAGTCTTAAGTCGGGCCTGTCCCTCTACAGGAGGCATATTCAAAAATAGTCAAAAAATAGTACGGGGAGTATTTGTTGAGTATTTTTGGGCATATTCTGAATATTTTTGAGTTTTTTTTTATATTTTTCGTCCAAAATCCCCCTGTAGGGGGACAGGCCCGACCTAACCCTAGTCAGGGTCGCATGCGCCCACCGCGCCCATTTTGGCACGCCCCTTCACACGATTCCCCGTCCCCCCTGTGGACAGGAAGGACGAGGGGGGGGGGCCCTGCAGGGGGGGAGCCCCCGAGGGGGCCCTGGGGAACGTTCCGTCTGCAGAGAAGGGCAGCGGTCCCGGGTCAGAGCACCGCACCCCTGGGGTCCAGGCAGGTCCGGGGGGGGGGCCGCCAGCGGGGGTCCCCGGGGAGATCCTGCCTTCGGAGTCGGCGGCAGAGGCCGTGAGGCCTTCGCAGTCGGAGACGATGGGGAGAAGGCTCGGAGAACGGGGGATGGAAGACTGGAGACGGGTCAGAGAAGGGGAAGGCCAGACGGAGCGGGAGGCGAAATCCATGCCGTCAGCAGATCGCGTACGAATTCCATCGCAGGGAAGATGCCATGCCACGCTACGCTACCTCTCATCCTTTCCTTCCTTCCCCTCCATTCCCCTCCACTCTCGCCTCCCTTCCCTTCCTCTCCCCTCTCCTTCCAAAAATCTCCCTTCCCTCTCCCCTCCCTTCAACCTCACTTCCTCAGTCCCATCCCTTCTCTCCCTCTCCCCTTGACGGAACGGACTGATCTCGGCCGAAGGGTCTCCTTCTCCTCATCCTCCTTCTCCTCCTCCTCCTCATACTTCCTTCCCCTTCCACCCCCTCCTCCCCTGCTCATCCCTCGCCCTTCCCTTATCCGTCCTCCCTCCCCTCTCGACGCGGCAAACACGAAACGGGCCTGCCGTGCAATTACTGCACCGACCTTGCCCACCAAGGCTGGCGATCTTTTGTCAGGGAGGGAGAAAAACACACAGACGCAATGAATCATCGATTCCCCAGAGAAGATGGGAAAACATGGGAAGTGGGGGGGAAGACGAAATCCCCCCAAACATGGAAAACTTTGGGGAATATGTATATTTGTGTGTATTTATTTGTGTGTCCTGGGGCCCCTTCAGAGTGACGATGGCGCCGTGGACTTGCACGTCATACTCGACCAATAATGGAGAAACGCTTTGGTTTTGCAAATACTGTGGCAATGCATGGAAGCAGCAGCAGTAGCAGCAGCAGCAGCAGCCAAGAGACACTTCCGGTGGCAGCTTTGTCCAGGCAGTCCTCCAGAGAAAAGCCAGCGACACGTTCATCAGCTCGAGGCAAATCGGGCAGGTCTGCTAGCAGGAGGAGGGAAGAAGCCCCGATTCGCAAGATCATCAACGATGTTGGCACCATGTATACTGCTCTTGCGAAGGTCGCAGATACTTGGGTGAAACTGCCCAACTCAGCAGACTAAGATCAGGTGTATCGAGTCAAAAGAAAGCAATGGAAGCGTACCTACCACCTGGCAGAACTTGTGGCATCCCTTCGCAGCGCCAGCACGTCGGCGCGATTGAAGTTTCAGGAATACGCATCAGTCTTGAATGACCTCGATGTTGTCTCTGTTCCCTGCTGCTGATCAAGAGAAGTCTATTCCAAAAAGGGCCGACGTCATCCAGGAGAAGCTCTTCAAGCTTGAGCAGCAGCTGGGAGCATGGGTGAATCGAAAGGACGGCTTGCAGCAAGAATTGCCCAGGCGAAGGAGCAGCTCGGCACTTTTGTGTCAAGCAGAGATAAGCATTTGGCGGAGGACATGGACAATCATATGTCAGGAGGGGAAAAACACACAGACACAATTTTTCGTCGTTCCCCAGAAAATCTGGGAAAACATAGGAAGTGGGGGGGGGAAGACAGCAACCCAGAAAATATAGGAAAATATGGGGAATCCTGTTATCTCTGTCTACCGATTTGTATGTCCCAGGGCCTCTTCAGTATGGAGGCTGACCACGGTGCTGCGCCTGCTCCGCCTCCACCGCCCGCACCTCCTCCCGCGCCCAATGGCCAGTGGAGCAGCTACTGTGGCAAGGCCCGCCTTTGTCGACTAGACGTAGGAGTGACCTTTCGCCGGAGTGACCTTTTGGTGCGGGCACAGATGGGCCCCCAGATGGCTGAAAACGAATCAGGAGCAGCGGCTTGCGCGCCCAGGTGTGGTCCCACCCTCCAAAAAGCCGCGCACCAAGGGTCACTTCTTACCCAGGGTCACTCTTGTGTGTAACCGACTCTGGCATTGCCAAGAGGCCGCCTCCATCTCCTCCTGCTTCCGCAGTTGCGCAAGGAAAAGGGAAGGAGAGGGACAAACCTGGCGCGCTAGTTCAGATCACATCTTCGCTCCAAGGGATATTGAACCAGCAGATGAAGCAGGCGGCGGAGATCCGTGCCCAACAATAAAAAACAAATTAAGAGTCAAACAAGCTGCTGCTTTTGTGCGCCCAGTTCGCCAAGGGCCAGCAGATCATCCCACAGACACAGGCTACACCACCGCGTGCAGGTCCTGGCCATGCTTCCCTCGCTCCTGCTACGCCAATACAGGCGCCAGTACAGGCGACCCAGAAGGCCCAGCGCTGACGCAACATACCAAACGTCTCAGTTTCAGTGCCCGACGCCTATTGTGTCATCAGCTGCTGACAAGCCAGTGTCTGCAAGGTCGGGTATTGACCCGACTGAAGAGTTTGATGCGCCCGAACAGTAATGTCCAAAACCGGCTTAAAAAATGATGACCCCCCCCTCCCCCCCCCGGATCCCGGCTGCCATTAATTCGCGTCCGAATAATTATTTGATCATCTTTCCCCCTGGAAGAAATCCATGGATGCCGACCGATGCCACTTGTATATACCTCGGTCCCAGGGAGAATGCCGATGGGGATGTTCCCGTCCTCCGATCAGAGAATGAATGTTTACATTGGGTTTTCGCCATTGGCTTTTGGAATTCAACATCGTTCCCGCGGTATAGAATCTATCAGCGGTATGCCGCCGCGCGCGCGTTGGCGATTGGCATTTGTGCATTCAGTGTCGTATATCCACATGGGGTTGTTCCCGTCTTCCGATCTGAACATGAATTTTTACATTGGGTTTTCGCCATTGGGTTTTGAAGTTCGACCTTGCTCCCGTTGCATAAAAACGTATCAGCGGCATGCCGCCGCCGCGCGCGCGCTGGCGATTGGCATTTGTGCATTCAGTGTCGCATATCCACATGACGATGTTTCCGTCTTCCGGTCAGAGAATGAATTTTTACATTGGGTTTTCGCCATTGGATTTTGGAGTTAAACACGGCTCCCGTTGTGGAAAAAACTATCAGCGGCGTGCCGCCGCCGCGCGCGCGCTGGCGGTTGGCATCTGCGCATTCAGTTTCGTGTATCCACATGGGGATGTTCCCGTCTTCCGATCTGAAAATGATTTTTTACATTGGGTTTTGCCATTGGGTTTGGGTGTTCAACATCGCTTCCGTTGTATCAAATCTAACAGCGGCATGCCGCCGGCGCGCGCGCGCTGGTGATTGGCGTTCGAGCGTTCAGTGTCGCATATCCACATGAGGATGCCCCCGATCAGAACATGAATTTTTACGTTGGGTTTTCGCCATTGGGTTTGGGAGTTCAGCGTGGATCCCGGCGTTTAAATCAACAACTGTCAGCGGCATGCCGCCGGTGCGCGCGCGCTGGCGATTGGCATTTGCGCACTCAGTGTCGTATATCCACATGGGGATTTTCCCGTTTTCAGATCAGATAATGATTTTTTACTTTGGTTTTTTTGCCATTGGGTTGGGGAGTTCAACATCGCTCCCGCTGTATCAAATCTAACAGCGGCATGCCACCGGTGCGCGCGCGCTGGCGATTGGCATTTGCGCACTCATTGTCGTATATCCACATGGGGATGTTCCTGTCTTCCGATCAGAGAATGAATTTTTACATGGGGGTTTTCGCCATTGGGTTTGGAAGTGCAGTTTCACTCCCGTTGTATCACATCTATCAGCGGCATGCCGCCGCCGCGCCCGCGCTCGCTGGCGATTGCCATTTTTGCATTCAGTGTCTATATCGACATGGGGATGTTCCCGTTTTCCGATCAGAGAATGTTTTTTTTATATTGGGTTTTCGCTATTGGATTTTGGAGTTCAACCTTGCCCCCGTTGTATAAAGCCTATCAGCGGCATGCCGCCGCGAGGAGGCCGTTTCAGAAGGCGGCGAGGCTTGTCGGGAGCCCTCTGGCTTTTCGAGGGGTGTTCGGCATCTCCGGGGGGGCTTCAGAGAAGACCTTTCGGGAGGCTGGAGGACGTCCGAGTCTTCTTAAAAGGCCCGCCCCCTTTCACTTCCCCCTGGGCTCGCCGCCGAGTGAATGCTCCTCGGCGCGTCTTCGGTGATCCGTCCATTGAACCAGGGATCTGCCTAAACAGTGTTTTTCGTTTCCTCGTTTCGTCTTCGTTTGCCCTCGTTTTGTCTCCAGCCCGCCTCTCTGCAAAATGGCATCGAAACGAAAGCGTGCCACGAAAACGGCCCACGACCCCCCCCAAACACCGCCCGGGCCCGCCACCGGAAAGCATGCCCGGAAGCTCCGACCCGCGAGGGTCGAGGGCTGAGCTCGGCGCCGAGGAGCTCTACAACGCCGCCCTCCGCCTCTTCGCGAGCCAGGGTTCGGCGGCCAAGGTCGAGGAGTGGCTGCTGGGTGCGGGGCAGTCGGGCTGGACGCCCGAGCAGGCGCCGGAGACAAACACAAACGCCTAAATGGATGGGCTTGTTTTCCGTAGCCACCGCCACAAGCAGGAGGGGACGGGGGTCCTCCTGCTCCTCCTCCTCCTCCTCCTCCTCCTCCTCCTCCTCCTCCTCCTCCTCCTCCTCCTCCTCCTCCTCCTCCTCCTCCTCCTCCTCCTCCTCCTCCTCCTTCCCCCCTCCAACTTGTGGTGGTGGTGGACAACAGGCCCCTCGGCCCAAGCAGATCTGCTCTGAAGAGGTTCGCGCAGGCCCCCCCGGATCGGCGCTGGATCCCGTCCACGGCGCCTCCCGCGCCGCCTCTCCGGTGCGCTCCGAGGGTCCAGCGCGGGTCCCTTGATGGGCCTGTTTTCCACCACCACCACCATAAGTTGGATGGGGGGAAGGAGGTGGAGGAGGAGGACGACGAGGAGGAGGAGGAAGAGGAGGAGGAGGAGGAGGAGGACCCTCTCCCCCTCCGGCTTATGGTGGTGGTGGTGGAAAACAGGCCCATCATCCCTGAAGTCCGCGCCGGCCTCGGAGCGTTGATGCCTTATGTCGGCGGCGAGCCGGGGGGGGGGGGGAAGTGTGAAGGGGGCAGAAAAGAGGGGGGTGCAAAACGACGCGAAGATCGGGACAAAATCGGATCGGGATAACTCGAAATCTCTGAGAATCGGCGGGTTTGGAGGATGTATCGGGCGCCGCGGCCGCTCCAGAGCGTTCCGGAACGCTCTGAGAGCGCTCCGGAACGCTCTGGAGCGATTTATCCCGATCCTAGCTATGTTTTAGGGTGATGACTAGGGGGGGTGGACATCATGGCGGGGGTCATGATGTTTCCCCAGATTTCGTGGCGCCTCTTCTTGTTTTCATGCGTCCCTGGCCCCCCCGCTGGGCCGCGCACGTGCCGACGGCCATGATTTGCACCCCCCCCATCTTGGCCGCTCCCGAAGTGAGAAGGGGCGGGTCTTCTCAGAAGGCTCGGCAGTTCGGCACGCACGAAATGGGTACGGAAAGAGTGGGTACGATGCCCAACAGCAGTTCCTAGTCAGTTCGAGCAGGACTCGCTGTCCGCGCAGCCGCGGACGTTGCCCACGGAAGGCAAAAAGCCGCCTGCCCAACAGCGGCCGCTGTCGGTTTTAGCCACACTTGTTGTTGGGCATCGTACCCCTTAGGCGATGCTTAAGAAAACTTAAGTTTTCGGCCAGAGTCTCGATTATTCTTAACGTTTCAATGTAAATCTTAAGCTTTTAATAGAAATGTTGGGTTTTTATTCAAGTTCTGAGACTACGAATTTCTTAACCCATGATTTCTTAAGCATTTCGCAGGGTGTACCCATCTTCTCCGTACCCATCTGGGGCGTCCGAAGTAGTCCCCCGGCCTTCGGAGAAGTTCTCTAAGCCTTCCCCCAAGGCGCAGAAGGCCCCTCAGAAGGACCGAGGGCTTCCGAGGAGCCCCGCCGCCTTCTGATCAGGAGGGGGAAAACACACAGACACAATCAATCGTCGATTCCCAGGAAGATGTATATGGGAAAATATGGGAAGTGTGGGGGGGAAGACGAAAACCCAGAAAATATAGGAAAAGTATGGGGGCTCCTGTTACTTGTGTGTATTTATTTGTGTGTCCCTGGGCCCCTCTATTCTGAGGGGGCCTTCTCCTGCTCGTTTCCCCCCCGCGCTCGCCGCTGATGCAAGGATGGGAGAGCCCACGTGCCCCGCCCGACTCATCAGGGTAGATTGCCAGCCCTCACAGGCATCAGCAATACACTATACTCCTCCTCCTCCTCCTCCTCCTCCTCCTTCTCCTCCCCCTCCCCCTCCGCCGCTGCCTTCTCCTCTTCCTCCTCTTCCTCCTCCTCCTCCTCCTCCCCCTCCTCCTCTTCCTCCTCCTCCTCCTCCTCCTCCTCCTCCTCCTCCTCCCCCCCTCCTCCTCCTCCTCCTCCTCCCCTCCTCCTCCTCCTCCTCCTCCTCCTCCTCCTCCTCCTCCTCCTCCTCCCCGCCGCCGAGTGCGCCGATGCCTTGTCTTCCAAGGCGGCCTTCGAGGCCGTCGTGGCCCTGTTCGCCGCGGAGGACGCCCCGAAGGCGGAGGAGTGGCTGCGCCGCTCGCAGCAGACACCGCACCGGCTGCCGGACGCGTGCTACGAGGTTGTGGTCGAGGCGCTGCTTCGGGCCGAGGACCTCAAAGAAGAATAGTAATAATTATGGTTGTGGGGCTACGAGAGGGAAGAAGGTACCGATGCCGCTGCTCGGCGGTGAGCGAGGGGGCAAAGTGGAAAGGAAAAAGCCTTCTCAGAAGGTGGCGGGGCTTCTCAGAAGCCTTCGCGCCTTCCGAGGGGTCTCCTAAGTCTTCTGCGAAGGCTTAGGAATCTTCTCGAAGGCCGCGCGGTCTGGAGCGGCCTCGCTGGAGGGGGCACGCGTGGCGTTGGTGGGGCTAGTGGACTGGATGAGGAGAAGGAGGTCGAGGTCGAGGAGGAGGAGGAGGAGGAGGAGCTGTGGAGGGAGATCAACCTGCTGACTAGCACGGTCTTCGCAGAGCCCGCGCGGTGCGAGGCGGCCGCCTGGGACGGGGCAGCGCGGGGCTGCTGGGGCTGGTGGCGTGGGGAGGGCAGAAGCCCTGATCCTCCTCCCCCTCCTCCTCCTCCTGCTCCTCCTCCTCCTCCTCCAACTCCTCCAAATCCTCCTCCTCCTCCTCCCCCTCCTCCTCCTCCTCCTCCTCCTCCTCCTCCTCCTCCTTTTCCTCCTCCTCCTTTTCCTCCCTCCTCCTCCGCCGCCGCCGCCTCCTCCTCCTCTTCCTCCTCAACCTCCCCATGACGCTGCGGGCCTCGCGCGGTCTCTCTCCGCGTAGCCCCGCGCGCACGCGCGCGCAGGCGCGCCCAGATTTGTACCGAGCACGCGCATCGTGACCTATGCCCCACCCTCTACCTCAGCAGGGCGGCTGAGGCAGAAGGGGGGAGTCGCAGGAAACAGCCTCCGGACCCAAGACCCCACCAAGGGGCAGGAAGGAAACCACAAACAGCCTCAGAGGGCCTCGAGAAGGAGGCGGGGCTCGAGGGGCCGAAGGAGAAACACCCAAAGCCTAGGTCACTTAGCCCCCCGACCACCACCTCCATAATTGAGGACGGCCTGCATCTCGCGCATGCGACGCGGAGGTGATGGTGGGGGGGAGCCAAACTCTTGTGCATAAGTGTGGCCCCCCCCCCCAACAGGAGAGAGCCAAGGCGGCAACCGTAAGTAAACATATAGGAAGGAACGGGGGGGGGGGCACATACTACTACGAGGCGGCCGAGCCCCCAGGGAACCCGAGGGAGGGACAAGGGTCAAGGCCTCCAGGGCCTAAGGGGGGGGGAGGGCTAAGGATCCTGGGGTGGCTCGGCCCCCTGCAAGCGGCCCCCGCGGGGCCAGGTGTCAGTCGTTGTGGTCGACCTCATCCCCCTCGCGGCCGCCTGCGCCCCCTAGGGTATCCTTGGGGGCAGGCACGCTCGCCGCCGAGGGGGCGTTCTCGACCCTGTACTGCATGGGGCTGGTATCTTTGTTGGGCATGTTCGTGGTGTTGTCGTCGGGGTCCTTCGTGTGCCCCTCGTATGGGCGTAGGCCCAGGCCGGGGTGGCCTGCTGCTCCGCTCTTGCAGTTGTTGTTTCCTTCTTTGGATCGACCCTGTCCCCCGCCCTTCGGCGCCAGCGGCGCTGCGGGGGTACAGGGGGCTGTCACCACCCTTCGGCGCGACGCGCTGTGGTGACAAGCCGACGTGGTCCTCCTCGTCTGTGTTGATCTTCGCCACTGTCGCGTTGTGGGTGCCGTCGAGGAGGCACTGGTCGTGGTTGTGGTCGTATTCGACGTCGTAGTAGTTCTGGGAATAGCCGTAGTTTCCACCATGCTGGGACCTGTACTGTCTGGCTCCTGTGGCAATGTATGGCGACGCCCGCTCGACGCTGGTACCCTCTGGGAGTCTCGTCTCCTGATGTTGGGTTGGCTGCTCATGCTCGCTTTCTTCGTGGCAGCGGTCATAATAAGTCACGAATTCAGTTAGATTGCCTGTCTGTTGTGCGTCGTTGTTGCTGCTTTCGCGTGCTGCAGCCGTGATTCGTGTTGTGTCATCGTCGGCGTCACTGGTGTACTAGAAGTGCTTGCTCGTGACCGTGTGGTCGGTCACGGTGACAAGGTTGTGGCTCTTCAAGTGTTGTAGTTCGTGGGGGGCGGTGGTCGAGAAAGGTCCGATGTTCATCCAGCAGGCCGTGTCGTTGGCGATGCACGGGTACATGATGAAGATAGCGTCACGTATCTTCGTGTTGTCATCCATGATGGTCGTTGAGTCTTTTTTGCTGGAGTCTCTTCTTCCCCACGGGTGTTGCTCATCGCGAAGTCGTTTGCTGTTGTCGAGGCTCGGTATGGACTTCTTGCACTGCATGGCGTCGGTTGTACCATTCCGTATAGCTCCGTGAACAGCGTTGTTAGTGTAGTCGGGATTTCTGTCGTTATACGTCTGACTCGCGTGGTTCGCTACAGTAAGTACACGTACTCGTCGGTGTTGTAGATTTGTTTGCTGCTCGATGCCGTTGACGATGCGCATAGTATCTTCACTGGAGGCATTCTGGTCGGTGGTGATCAGAATTGTCGAAGTCCGATGTGGCCTGTCGTTGCCTGCCTCCGATGTATCACCGTCGGTTGTGTCGTGCCGCGTGTGGCGTAAGCGACGATCGCGTGTCTGGGCGCCTTCCGTCTGTCCTCGTCGCTCGTCTTGCTCTTCATCTGCTTGCGGTGACAGGGAAATTGGTGCAGGAATCATCGTGGTACGTTCGTCGTCCGCGCCTGTTCGTTGTGCAAGTGGTGGTCCGTGGAGTTATAAACACGGGCGTTCTGCGCAATATCCGGGTAGTTTTTTGTTTTTGCTTGTTCGCCGTGTGTGCCTTATCTCCTCTGATAAATTGTTCGCTGCGTCGTCGTCGAGCTGCTTGCTGAACCTCATGGCAAGTGATGCGCACCGTCTGCTGGCGCACATGTGCTTGTACAACCGGTTGACCGTCCATTATTCCCTCGCACAGAATTGGCATATAGCCCCGTGGATGTAGTTGTTTATAGTTTCCTGCTGTCTGTGCTTAGCGTGCATGTACTTTTGGTACGTTGCCTTGCCGTTTAGGATTTGCCCGCATTCGTAACCTAGGTACCTGCGATCATGTTGGGGGTCTCCGATGCCAGGCGCCGGGATGGTGGTGCCGTCGCACATGTCTTTGACGCGTCTTCTCCAGGCGACTGTGGCTGCTGTTTCTTGATTGAGCTCGATGGCTGTCTTGCAGGAGTGTGTGGTTATGCTTTTGAAGTTGGATGGTTCTTTTTTGCCATGCCTAGCCATTTGCGTATGTCGTCGTAGTTGGGCGTATTGGTGCTTGCTGGTGTACGCTTTGATGTGGTGGTGGTCGTCTGCGCTCGTAGTTGACCATCTGCCGTTGTTCTCGATGCCGTAGTCAAGCAGGGCTCTTAGTTCAGTAGGGCATGCATTAGTTATCCGTAGAATCTGTCGCAGCCTTGCTTGCCGTAGTCTTTGTGGGAGTGTCGGGGTGCCTGCCCAGCTGATGATCTCGATGTTGGTGATCTTCTCCCGCTGAGTTGTCTGGTTGTCAATGCCCAATGCCATCCTCGTAGTTGCTGTGTGTGCAGTGGCGATCCTCTCCGTGTCAGTCGTTTTTGCAGGCATCCAGCTTCTTGCATTGTATAGGAGTCGTGAGTATCCAAGGGCATTGAGATAATGTACCTTAGCAGTATTGGTGATCTTGTCGCGCTGGAACACCGTCTTTCGAAGTGGTGTGGTAGCCTCCTTCCGAGCAAGTACGCTCGCTGCCACTTCTTGGGTAAAGTCGATCCGATCATCTACCAGTGCGCCCAGGACTTTGAGAGTTCGCGCAATAGTCACTGTCATCCCCATGTCCGTGTACAATTTTTGGTCGATGTGCATCTGTCTCGCGATTATGTGTCCTTCCTTGTTGCTGGCGAAGATGAGGAAGTTGGACTTGGTAATCTTAATAGTCCTCGAGATAGTGCCGTTCGTATTTGTATCCCCTACATGGTTTTGACTGTAGTCTCGATCGCATTGCCGTCGGTGACCGTTGCCATAGCTTTCACATCGTCGACGAATGGTGTTGTCGTCATATGCTGGGCTTCAGTATTAGTGCAGAATGCTGTTGAGCTGCCTGGTATTCTTACTGTGGCGCCCGATTTGATCGCCTCTTCGTGATAGCCTTTCGTCACTGCAGACATCGGCGCGTTGAACGTGAAGTCGGCTGTAGGTACTCCTGGTCGCGTTCCTAGCCTTGGTGCTGCGGAGTCTGAGTCGCGCTCTGTGAAGAACCGCGTGTTGCCGTGGGCTTCGGTCAGCATCGAGAGCACACGCTTGTTGCCTATGTGGGTACTGACGATGCCGTTGTTGTTCCTTGAGGGTCTGTATAGCCGGCTGCGTGCATTGATGGATGACCAGATGGCCAATCAGGTTGTCGATGACGTCGGTGTTCATCTGCATGTCGAATACCAGGTTCGTTAATACCTTGTGACAGGCAGCTCCAAGGTCGATCGCGATCATGTTGAGGTCGGTTCCTTCCGCGGCTGCTAGGTTGAAGGTCAGTCGCATTATAAGGTGTTTGTAGTCCGTGCTGTAGTGGCTTCGGCCTCCCATCTGAGTACTGAAGAATAGCCCAGGTAACCAGTCCTTCATGCACTGTAGTATGTATATGTAGTGGTGCTTGATGATGGCATTAGCGGGCAACATCGATCGGTGGGTTTGTGGCGTCTCTTCTAGGCCCCTTTTCCTTTTCCAGAAGTGCGTCGTTCGTGATTTCGCGACCCTTTGTCACTGCTTCTCGGATGAGAAGTGTAGTCTTTGAAATTAGCGGGCGCATGTGGCGCGCCATTTCTCGCGGTGCCGCATGGTCAAGGTCGTCGGCAGCTTCGCCAGGTTCTGCAGCTCGTCCGAGTTTGCACCGTGCCAGTTGTTCTTCCAGCTCGTAGATGCTAGCAAAGTTGATGATGCTTCTGATCGTAGTGTTGTCGCAGATGTCGTCGGTGCTGTTGCATCGCTCTGTTATGTCGGTCTGTGCCATGAAAGCTGCAGCTTCTACGTCGCCGAAGTGGTGGACGGCTTCCTTGTGCTTCGCTGTCGCGTCTGCAAACACGTCGCCCTTGTTGTCCAC